CTTTTCTTTTCTTTTCTTTTCTTTTCTTTTCTTTTCTTTTCTTTTCTTTTCTTTTCTTTTCTTTTCTTTTCTTTTCTTTTTTCTTTTCCTTTTTTTTCTTTTTCTTTTTCTTTTCCTTTTTTTCTTTTTCTTTCTCTTTCTATTTTTTGCTTTTCCTTTCCCTTTTTCTTTTCCTTTTTCCTCTCCCTTTTTTATTTTTTCTCTCTCCTTCTTTTTATTTTTCTCTCTTATTTTCCCTTTCCTTTTTCTATTTATTCCTTTTATTTTTTCTTTTCTAGTTCTTGAATTTTTTTCCCCTTTCCATCCTTTCTTTTTCCTTCATACCTGTGCGCACACGGAGACAAATCTAAATCCAAAGGCAATTAAAGGAAGCTTTTAAAATTACTTTTTGGATCGGGCCCCGAGTTCTCTGCAGGGAGCAAGAATGGGAGCAGGCAGGATTTACATTTCATGGCTTTTAAAGAATCTGAAGTACGGGAACGGCGTTTGCCGAGGCTGAGTTTCACAAGTCTGTGTGGATGTGCCTCGGAATGTGTATATGATTAAGCTGAAAGTCCTCTTCTGTAAGAAAGCAGGCAGATTCCCTTTCCTGCAGCCTAAGCCGTGCTTCTCCAATTTTGAAACAAAACTTCTTGCCAAGGCCTTGGCAGGGGATGGCACTGCTGAAAGGGATGGAATCGGGGTGTTGGTATTGTCTCCCAAAGCTGAGGTGTCTCCACTGCAAACAGCCCCTGCTCCCTCAAGCACTGAGAGCCGTGACAATATGAGCCCAAAATTCAACCAAAAAATACATAGTAATTTTTTTTTTCCTTTTTCACCCCTTCCCCCCTACTTAACTGCTTCCAAACTCCCTGATGAAAGCATTTTAATATGTAGGAAGAGCTGCTGGAGTCTGCAATGCGATTCAGTGTTCTGTGGTGTGGGATGAACAGATTTTCCTTTCCATAGGGTTTCCTCCTGCAAAGTCATTGTAGAGGAGGGAATACTGTAAGATTAAATCTGGTTAAAATACTATATTCATGTCACACCAGATACAGTCTCCAGACTGTGCACAGTCTTTCAGCTTCCTTTATTGTGAAATCCTTTTAAAATAGCACAGTATAGTGTAGAGAACTTATTGAAGTATAACTGTCTTACACCAACTCTGTCAGATAAAATGAAGGAAAGTGATCAAGCTTCTTAAATTAATAAATCTGCTTAGTGTCTCTGGTTGCCTTCATGCTCTCTTACTGTCTTTGACTCTTTCCTTATTAATAAACTGATAGTTAAATAAAGCTGCTAAGTGAAGAAATGCACCTTGTTGGTGGAAGAGGGTTGGTGCCTCCTGTTCCAGGTCTGCTGTGCTGGGAATGGTTGTGGGTTTAGGGCAGGCATGGACGCAGCAAAGACTAAAAGCAGGCTGACCACATCATTTTCTAGATGCTCCTCAGGTGTGAGGCTTGAGTACCTGTTCCTCTCAAGCCCCCTGCATTAATAACAGGATGAATTAACCGATTGGCATGAAAGGAGAGGTCGTCCTGAGGAAAATGACACCAAAGGTCCACAGGAGTCATTTGCTTTTAGAGATCCCGGGCCAGGTGCCAAGTATTGCATTTATGGAAGCATCATCCCCTTTCACAAAAAAAAAAAAAAAAAAAAAAAAAAAAAAAAAAAAAAAAAAAAGCCTACAAACCTGAAACAAAACAAAACAAAACAAAAAGGCAACAGCTCTTTCAGTGGCATGTGGGGTCTTTTCAAAGAGGTTTTTTTTTTTGAGTGGGGACCTTTGGGTGGGATGTAGGACAGGGATCATTCAGCTGCTCTAAACGTGCTGCCCACTTTTGTTTTCAGAGCTGCAGATCTAATCTGGAATCAAAATGCTGGAAAAGCGCCTATAGTTTGTCTTGCCTTTTTTTTTTAATTCAAGTCGATAAGGCTTGTGGTTTATTCTTGCTCTGATTATGCTGCATGGTTACAATAAATGCATGGAGCTCAAGCATTCCTGCAGATACTTCATATGAAATATATGGGTATGCCTGTGCATGCACACTCGGGGAGACAAAGTTGATTGTAAGGGACACAACGAAATATCCATATTTAAGAAATGTGGATTGACTCACTGACTGATCTCACTTATTGTACAAAGATTCACTCTATGTTGAATTTTTTTTTTAATTAGATTTTAAATATGTGTTGACAGGATGAATTTGTACGGTGTGAATAACTGCAGGGGGAAATGACAGCTCTGCTTTTGTTATTAAACTACTGTCTTGAAAATAATGGAGTGTGTACAAAAATTGATTATTATTTTGCCAATTACATTAGTGCAGCTAATAACAATCATTAAGAAAGAAATACAGAAAGCTACAAGCTTTCAGACCTTAGAAACTGATATTCACTGGTGAGGCAAAAATACGTGATTTTAAGGTATTTTGTCAGTAAGAATCTCCTGTTATTAATGTAAAACAAATACTAGATGTGTGAGCTAGAAATGTTTCACTTCAAACTGTTCATTTCTTCCTCACTCAGTCAGAGTTAATAAACAGTACAAGAGACTTTCTAAATTTAATTTAGGATTTGCATATAAAAGGTCCTATTCTGTACCATAGTGGCACAACAGACAGGCTTTATGACGTTAAATATTCCTTTTAATAATAGTTTATTTTAATGTATTTACTAAATTAGGTACCCGAGAGAATCATCTACAACGGTGATGTGAAAATCCCTGTTACCTGAGGTCAAAAATAGAAGGTATGTTTTCCTTTTCATTAGCAATTTGCCATATTTCAGCAGGGGTGGTAATTTCACTGCTTTGTTTTCTTCTGCTAAGATGGTGCTTTTTGCTCAGCCCCGGGGAGTCGGTGACAGGCAGTGGTGCAGTTTCCTGGGCTTTCGGGTGAGGCTGATTTCAGGTGCCTGTAAGAACCACTTGCAATGATGGGGCTTTGTACTTTTGTCAGCCAGGCAGCTCTCCTGTGTCCCACACCTCATCTATAATCTTTTGCAAATGTTTTCTTTCTTTTTCTTCAAATGCTAGCGTTCAGACATCAGCTACGGGGATTAAGGATGGGTCTTCTGAAGCTCTCTCTCAGATCTTGATAAAAATCATGAGTCTGTGTTAGATGACTTCAGTACTTACAAATTACAATAGAGTTTAATTCACAGCACTGCTTTCCTCTGGAAATTCATGTTCATTCAATCTGTCAACATTGACTAAAAAATATGCTGCTAATGAAAATGTGGGAATTAAAACTTTCAAACCCTTCCCCTGCTAGACTCAAACAGGCAGTCTACTTTTTTTCCCGTGGAATCTGACTTTTATTGACCTTGACTATAAAAATACTAAGTGGGTTAAATGAGCACCAAGGTTGCAATGACAGATTTCTGTGTGAATTTTTTTATGAAACCTCCTATTTTAGTTAAGAACACAGACTGCCATACAGCCTGCCATGCTTTGATCAATGGCTAAGTGCTGTTAGAAACAGCTGAATTTTATTAGCTCATGGAATTAAGCTTGTTTAAATAATATATTTATTTTTTATCTTCTAAAAGAAATGTAAATAATAAATTAAAATAATAGATTTATTTGTTAATTTTGAAAATAAATTTAAGTAACAAATTCATTATTTAAAATTTAAGTGAGGATGGGGAGGATGTAATTGGTGCTCTAGCCTGTACATTAAATGGAACTGAGAGGAGTTTTGGATGGTGTATAGGCTGTAGGAATAGGATTCTCAAGGAGCACTACAGGACCTTCATTTTAAGCCTGATGCTCCTCTTACTTCCCTGAGGAACACCCTGAGTGGGGTTTTGTCTGCATTGCATCTTTTTCCCCCTGTTTTTCACCACTAAAAATGAGAGGGAAACCAGAACACTTGTTTTTTTTTTCTGTGAAAACTTAGAGTGCAATATGCTTTTTTGCAAGAATAGAGCCAAGTTGCTATCAGCTGAAGTGAATACGTGAAGTGTGTATTTTAATTGCAAAGGTGCAGCACATGTTTCATCAACTTGCTCCTTGGGAAACATTTCTAATTTCAATAATCCCATGGGAAAACCTGCCATGCTTCCTGCAATTCATATATGTGACTATTAGATTTATATAAATTAGTGATATTTATTCTTTTTATCCATATGATTAAAAAGGAAATTTTTCCCCTTATCGACACTTGTGATCTCAAGACTTGCTTAGCCTGCTGTTCTCTGGGACAATTCGTTGTGTCTTCCTTCAGTATTTTGTGGTTATATTTTCACATATTAGAGACCAAAAAAACAACAAAACAACCAGCAGCAAAATCTGTTAGTTTTAAGCAAATAGCTCTTGGGTCTCGGAAGAGTTAACAAACTTTTACGGCAAGGTTCAGGCAGTTCTGACCCCTATGGTAATATTTCATCTAAGGTTACTGTTGGGAGAGAAATCAAATTTCAGCTGTGAACATGATTGACAGGTGAAAGCAAGAGAGAGAAAGACATCTGGTCAGATGGGGAATTTGGGCAGGAGAAGGACAATTCAGGGAAGTGTCTCTGTGATATTAGGAATAATAAGCTTAGATATGAAAACTCCGATCGTGCACGCTGTCTGGAGGAGAGCTCACTTGATATTCATGGAGGTGGCTTGGTTGGGGGAATTTAAGACTGTACATTTATAGCAGTGGACAGTAGTCTCCATGGTCTGACTTACTAACTTGGCTCCTTTGAAGGAATTATGTTATTTCTGGCAAACTTTTAGGATTTCAAGGCCATTTATTTAATGTCTGTGACTAGAATATTTGGTGGTTGCTGGTTAAGAGTTCTCACCATGATGTCCGTGGCAGGTCAGGCAGCAGCAGGGGTGGTGGAGGCCAGTGCTGGTGTCACTCCACGTCCTCCCACTCCTGAGAGCTTTCAGAGTAAGCACTGCAGGATGAATTTTGTTTTTATGATATACACTGTTATTCCAGCAACAAAATTAGTTGCTATCCCATAAAATACCATGAAGGATCCATTGTGGTGCTTTACAAAGCAATTGTTATTTTCCAAGGGCTCTGTTTTGTCTTATTCCAGCTCCTAGCAGCACCAGCTAAGGCCCCTTACAACACATACATAACCCCAAGTGTATTTCACTGTGCTTCAGTGTATTTTATTTGGTGCAGAAGAGCTTTTCCATCCTCCAATGTCACGGAACCAACAGGAATAAAATATCCCTCTATTTCCTGATCAGCATCATGATGTTGGAAAGTAGAATTTGCTTCTGACATAAAAAATGTAGCCAGGTTTTTTCTTAAAAAGGGCAAGAAAAAAATCTGCTGGTTTTTATTGCTGCGTGTAACAATGTTTCAGTTTTCAAGGAGGCTCTGAAGGACTTTTTTAGAGCTCCAAGGGCAGGATGAAGCAAAGATGGACCCTGGGATCTAAACTGCTTCCTACCTACGTCTCAGGTGAGAAGAGAGATCCTGGGTGGGCTTCTGGTCCCACTGAAGCCTTTGGTAAAATCTCACTTGAATTCCTGGAGCCCGCACTTCCATCACAATGGAATATCTACAGGGGATGTAATACTAATAAAAAGCAAAATCTGAACTCATACAGAGGTAGCTGAGCTGTGAATTCCTGGGATGGATGTTCTTATTTGGGAGTAAAGGTGGATTTTCCCTTTCCCCAGTACAGCTAAGCTGCTTTCAAAATAAAATAAATTAACCAGGAAAATCCACTCTTATTCTAGAGTAGGAGCGTCCACCCAGGCAATGAATAGCACTGCAGTATAGTTTATTTCCTAATTTCCCCATATGGATGAGACCTAAACTAAGGGGAGAATAAGGAGCAGTAAAGAACAGAAATGTATTTTCTGTTCCTTTTCCAGTTTGCCTTTAAGACCTTTCACACAGGGGAAATCATGGTGCTCTGAAAATACACATTTACTTACTTTTCACTGCTATTCCTGCATTTGCACATGCATTTTTAAAAGAGATTTGTGTTTTGTGCAAGACCTTTTTCATTCTCATACTATTCACGCATATTTTTGATGTGCAGTTGAGTCTGACTGTTCATGATATCATTTCTCTTTTCATGGCCATGGCCTGTGATATCAAACTATCCAACTTCACTGCAAATTAGATCTTGTTTTTATTCCTAGACTGTAGATCTGATAAAATTGAAAATTAAAGCTAAGAACTGTAAAAACAATCAAATTTCTTTGTGCATGAGCAAGTTATTTTTAACTTTGCGTTGTTGAATTAACACTCCCTGTAAAATGTCTTTATTTTCCGAGGCTGATATCAAGATAAGTTCCATGAAATATTATTGGCAAACTTCCCACAGCAGTCAATGGGAGCCTTGTATGTATTTTTCAAGCAGATGTGCTGTATTAAGCCTAAATGAGAATCTTTTTTTTTTATCAAATGGGATGCAATATGTTATTCTTGATTAAAAAATTCAGAGTAACCTCTCCCTCTCCCTTTCCTCTTCCCAAACATATTTAGTACATTTTACAGATCATTTTATGTAGGTAAAAAATAAGTTCTTGAGTGTTTAAAAAAAGCAGGATTTTACTATGTCTCAAATGCCTTTCTATTCCTATGAATTTGAAGTATGAAAATGTCTCAAATCTTTATGAGTGAAGAGAAAGTGTATGCCATATGTAACAGCTTTCACTCCCCTAAAATACCCAGGAAAGTAATTTAATACTTTTCCCTGTGTTTAGAGCAAGCTCTAAAATATTTTGCAGTGATGTAGTTCTTGCTGTTCTTTAGTTCTAATAAAGGATTTTAAGTGCTAAGAGAAAAAAAAAAAGGTAATATTTTTAACATCTCTCCTGGGTTTTCTAATTTGTGCCACTTACCAAATGATTCGCACTGTACCAAAATGCAGGAGATTGATAAGACAGGAAAAGTACTGATTTAACATCCCACATATAAAATTACTTCTCAGGCTCCACATATAGTCACAATGTTTAGAGAGTGAAGAAAACGGGAGTTGGGAGTCACAGTCTGACTCACTTGTGAGACTTTGACCCACTTATTTGATTCTAGATTCAGCAAAATACTGAAGCACTTTAAACTTGTTATCTGAGGTTTCTAAAGGTCTGTTACCGTTGATCTCTTTATATCTCAGTTTACACAGTTATAAACCGAGATAATTAATTCTTACCTTCTAGGGTTTTGTGGGAGTTAAAAAATAGCTGTAATGTTCCTTGAAGCCCTTTAATGGAAACTGGTTTATTGAAGTACTTGCCATTTACCTTACTTCATATTCTGGGATGGGAAATCACTGATGTTGTCCAGGTCCCATGCACCGTTTCTACTGGAAAGGGAATTTAGTCTCCTGAGTGCACTGGGCCAGGATTACAATCGTCAGGTGCTTTGGGAACTGGTCATTTTCTGAATTACACGTAACTTTACCCTGGTTTTGAACGTGCCAAAATGAAGGCAAAATCAGTTATGTGCCCCCTCTCTCTCTTAAAGACGATATATCTTTAATACCTCTATGTACAGAATAGCTCCTGTGCACCTGCAAGGCAAGCAGAGGTCACACTGTCCTTGTAATTCCTCCCCTTCCTGCCATTACCTTTTTTCTCCCAAGGTTCAAGCCATTATCATTCAGCAGTTGTGCAGCTTTTCTTTTCTTCCATCCCCAAATTATTATTGTTTCCCTCCTACCTTCTACCCCTCCCCAGACATAATGGAGCCCTCAGCTGTAAATTTGCTAACTATAAAGATTTTTGCTTGAAATGTTTTGAAAATGCTGTGAGAAAAAAAAAAAGAAAAAGAAAAGAAAGCCTA